AGACTTGTTCCTCGATATGCATTAGGTTCTGCCCTCTTATACACCGAACAGCCGATCCCTTAATCACAGAATATTCAGAATCAATCAAATTCCAAACCAGCTTCTAGATATCACTTTAGAGCTATAACCTTATAAATTTCAAGATGCTATTCCCTCTGAAATACTTAACCACTCTACCAAATCCTCAAAGCGCTCATATTAGCTAATGTTTAGAAACAAACTGCCACTTTGTCCTGATTGCCAAAATTATCTAGTTCACATAAAATACAAGCCATTAATGTAAATTAAAATCACGTTCTAGCTCGAAAAACTTTCGCTAAGCATGTGCCTGAGCAGGAAAACAAAAAGAAAACTCTGCAAAAGATAATCATCGCATAAAGTAATTTTTTTATTGCCCGTATCCTCATAATGTGACAAGAATTTACTTCTAATGAAAATCGATTAGCATAAAGTTCCGCGAGTGCATAACCGTCATCACATAGTGTTATTCATGTCGTCTAATTACCAGGCATTTTCATATTTATCCAATAATCGTTCCCCACCCATCTCATAAATTTTAGCTGACATACCCATTCTTCTGTCATTTGAGTGCTGAATGATAATAATTTTGCGCCATGACATGTCAGTTATCGATTTGACCATGAATATCCTCGTTCACTCCGTAGGTGCTGATGACAGAAGACGAAAAAAGTGGTTACACATATGCAGGTCAGCATATGCGAACTTTTGTGTTCATTTTAATCATGCTGAAATGAGGAGCATTCATATGACACATATAAGTCTATTAAACTTATGATTTTAATACGGAAAATATTGCTTCAGTTCAGTTTTTAATTAATTTGATAAATCTACTACACCTGACTTATACTTCTACCTAATTTCTTCATTCTTGATGCTCACCAACATTTTCCCTCTAATGGACATTATTTGCCTTTTAGCCTACACATCTCTTCATTTCTATTTTGCTCACTGGTTCTATTCATAAAATTTACACAAACTCCCATCAGTACGATTGAGGAGAGTAAAATGAAAATGAGTAAGGTAAAAATATATAAATTATTAGTAAAGGTCGTCATCATGTGTGCGCAAAATTCATTCATCATCGTTACGTTTTATTTTTTCTTCTTCTTCTGCCTTTTTATTTCCTCTTGTGCATCATTTTTGGGGGTGGGAATTGATGAAGTGGATGTTGTTGAGGAAGAATGGGTGGGAAAACGAGATGCTTACGATTGCGGTCATTCATGTGAACTTGTTTTTGTACATTTCCTTCCTATCATCATTGATGCTTGTGCTTCCATTCAACAAAAAAAAAGGTGTGAATGACGTTGTGTATTTCTGGAATTCCAGGTGGTTGAAGAATATTTTTGAGTTGGTTCATTTTTTTCGGTAAATTTAGCAATTTTTGACCTTAATGATGTATTGAGGAAGTAAAGGCTGGCTAGTGCGAGCATTAAACATTAATTAGAAATTTTTATAAACCCTAAATAGGCTGTTGTTGCACATTTGGTGTCAAAAAAGATCGATGTCGAAATTTTTATCCACATGGAGATTTTAGTTTCAAATTTTGACTTAATTACATGCTTAAAAGCTATTCTAATGTTTGAAAATTGTTAATTAAGAGTGAGCAAATATGAAAACATCATTTTGTCTCAATAAAACTTATTCTTCAGCTCAAAAATAGAAAATTTTATTTTACAATCATCAAAAAAAAAATTACAAACAACAAAAAAAATGCGGTTTAATTTCAAAAAATAATAGTCAATAATATTGAAAATTCCCGGAAGTCAAAATGAAGAAGTAAAGAAAATGATGATTTGTGTGGCAATCCATTCACCTCGGATGGTTTCAAATTACCGTTTAAACATTTTTTATGCTTCTCGCTTTTTACTTCACCTTATCATAGAACGTAAAAGTGAATACATAAAATGAGAAAAAGACACTAAAGTGCAGAAGAAGGGTCAATAATATAAGATATTGTATTTTATGAACAACGCCCCAAATTGACTCAAGACTGAAAACTATTAAAGCTCATTCTTTATTGTTGGGAATTTATGTCGACAGTCTCGAGGAATTTCATCCACTCACTACATTCACAGATATTGCCTTTTTTTTCTCTCTCCGATTCTTATTATTTGTTGTTGTAAATAAGCCTTTTCACGCAAATCTCTTCTCGTTCTTATATTCGTACGACATAAAGTGACGGCAAGCCAAATAGCAAATGGAATGGCAAAGACGACGAAGAAGCAAACATATTTTGTTTCATTTCCTTTTTCGCTGGCCAACATTGAGTAAGCAGAGAAGCATTTTCACTGATTACAATCGAATTATTATCGGATTTTTATGGCCCACATAATTCTTTCATTTCTAAATCCAATATCCGCTCTTTTTTATTTCCACTCGTTTTGTACACACGATACAAATCCATGATAAACAATGCAAAGGAAAACAGGAATGAGCAAATAAATTGCCTCGAACCGATGAATGAAAATGAAAATGCTAAATGGTTTTTTACTTTATGGGTGTGTGGATGTATGTGATAGACATGGTGAGGAAAATTTAATTGAGGAAAAACAAATAAAAGGAAATGAACAGCGAAAGAAAAAGAGAAAAAAAAACCGGGAAAATTTTCAAAGTTTTGCAACATTTCAAATGTAGATGTCAGTGAATGTTGGAAAGGGGTGAAAGCTTTTGCGCAGACTCTTCATGGACCATAACACAATTTCCATTGTAACATAAAAGTTGTTCAGTTCGTTATCAAAATAAAATCAAAACATAACATTTGACTTGATACAGAAGTGTATAGTTGGGAAAGTTGATGTCGTGCGACATTGGAAATGTGTCGTGCAACATAAAAAAAATATTCTCAAAGTGACATCAGCATCCAAATGTTGTAAGGGAAATCCTTTAAGTGAAATTGTGAAAACTTTTTTTTTCTGTGAGGATTTCAGGTGGAAAATTGTGAATTAAAAAGTGGTAAAATATCTTAAATTGATTAATGAGACATTTAAGCATCGAATGCAATTGAAGTGCAGTGAATTTTGTGTGATTTTTAGTGAATTTTTGCAAATACGATTAATGATTTTTTTTTTCATCTCGTCATTTCTCCTCCTTTCTCGAAATCCGAAAAAAGATTCCTTTTCGAAGATGAAAAAAATTTACAAAGAAGAAAAAAATTGAAAAGTTTTCGATTTAAACTATCGAGTTGCTGTACGGGATTAGTTGAAAAGTCAATTTTATTGTAGATTAAAGCATCCTACATCCATTTTCATGATAAATAAAGTTTCAGCAACTCGACTTTTTCTTAAATTTTCCTTTGACCTCATTGTCATTTGCCTGAATTTTTTTTGGTGTGGTAAATGTTGAGACAAATGTGTGTGGTAAGCATGAAGCGAGTGGATAAAGAGAAGAATGATGATAAAAAAATTCTGAGCCTTAATATTCGAAGTTGTCGAGTTCGCACCCATCCACCCACTTATTTTCGAAAAACAACATTCCTGCAAAATGAAAAATTCCTTCAATTAATTTCAATTATTTTGCAATAGTGCTGCAATTTTTTTTCAAATGAGACATGAAAGCAAGCAAAAAGTTTTTCCATTTAGTTTCGTACGGGAAAGTTTTTTTTGATTCTGTTGTGTCAATTTTAATGAAAGATTAATGAATGTGAAAAGTAGTTTGGGAATTGAAATTTCTTCAGAATTTTCTAGCAAGTCTGATTGTTCTTCAATTTTTCACATTCTCCTTGCAACTTAATTGTAGATTTCCCATTCATATCTGTCAGAATAATAAAAGATGACAATTTTCGAAATGAGGAAAATTTCATTTTCGAATTTTTCACGAATTTGTCTGTGTATTTGTGTGTGTGTGTGTGAATGTGTACCATTGTGTATGAGGAAATAGAATAACAAACTTCTCACTTCATATCGTCTCCATTATTCTGATTATGATATTCAATCGTGTGAATATCCTTCCAGCAATGACAAAATTAACTGACAAATGGATTCTCTAATTCAATTTTGTTGACTTCTTCAACTTTATATTGTTTTATTATCTCTGTGTGTGTATGTGTGTGGAACTTTATCTCATTTTTTTGGAATGAAACGTAATTGAATAAGATATAATTTTTTTATTTTCATTTTTCCACTCTATAAAAAATGATGAGGCACAAGCATTAAAAATAAGAAGAAGTGTTGTTTGAGAATAAAAATTGTCATGGCATCCAATATCATGTGATTGTGGTCTATAAGATAAAAAAAAATTGATGGGTCAAGATAACAAAATCATCTGCAGAACGAGAAACTATAATGACAATAGAAAGTGAATAAAATGAGCATGAGATAAGATGTGAAGATGCTTGATTGTGGCTGTATGTGAGTGTGTAAATATAAAATTTGTGTGTGTGTGTGTGTGTGTCTGTGTCAGCCTCCCTTATTTTCTTCTCTCAATAATTTTTTTTTTCATACACACATCCACAGGATGCCCCAATTGAGTGTGTGTGTGGTTGTGAAATCTTTCCTTCTTTTTACACTTTTTCGAAAATCACAAATCAAATACATACAAGTAAAGTGGGTGTGTTTGTTGCCTAAAAAAAATTTCAATCGCATAGCAAGCAAAAAAATAATTCCTCTTGCCTGTTTTTCATACTTAAGATCATTAATAATCAAACGTGGACCTAAAAATTATGTTTCGGATTGCAAAGTTACTTTTTGTGCATCCAAAATTGCCTTCAATTTTTGATTTTTGGTTCTTGTAAATTCTGTGAGGAAGAAAAAAAAATTTTTTTCGTTCCTTTCTTTCCATCCACATCTCGAGTATAAGAAAATTTATCTTTTCTCTTTCATATCGTCTAAATTAACAAAAACAGAGGAATTTATACATGCTTATAAAAAAATTTGCATTCATCGCTCGAATTAAGAATAATAAGTTTGGAGGAGAACAGAGAAATTTTGGAACCTAATTAAAGTCAAATTAACGCGCTATTTGCAAAAACGAGTCTGAGAGGAGAAAAAGTGCGAGATCAGTGACGGGAAAGATTTCATTTTTTTTCATAGTAGGCGTTAAATTGAATTAAAAGCAAAATTTATACACAAAAAAATAATAACGAGGAACTCAAAAATTCATAAAGAAATTTTCGGATATAGAGAAGTGAAAAAAGTAGAGCAATAATCATGGGAGCGAAAGGTAGTGTGGAGGCCGCAAAAATGAATGCAGATAACTGGGGACATTTAGAGGTATGTATACGTTTGTCACAGCAATTATCGTGCACTTGAACAAGATTGATTCTTCTTCTACTTGCCTCACTTCCCCCTTATTATTCTTTTTGTATCCTTTTTAACTATTGGAAATTCGGTGACTCACTTAAATCCTATTTAAAATGCAAATTCAAGGTGTGGAAACCTTTTTTTTTGTGGAAGTTTAAGAATGGAAAATTGTTTGTATACATTGGAAAATGCTTACGTCAGTGCTTTTTTGTGCACAAGAATTTCTTTTGATTGTCGTTTATTTGAATTGGAACTTCTATTAGCAATCTCGGTATTAAGCATTTGCTATTGATTTGCTGAGTAAAGCTTAGTCATTAATCATCGTGCTAAGTTCATTTTAAAAATGATGTCTGATTGATTTGGAAGCTTTACGTGATTTTTTGAGAATTAACGCTAGATAATGAGACAAAATTGTACAGTACCTGCAAATAATAATCACAGCTTCTTTTAAATTGTAGTTGTGCATTTTTAAATGATGTTTGTAAATTCTTTTTGATTACGATACGTCACATATCTGAAAATGAGGACCAACTATTCATAATTCAATAAATTTGATAATTCCTCATCAATCAAGTTAAGAAGCTTAGTCAAATTCATGAAAATGCAGGCTAGTCATTTAATCTAAAGTTCAGTGGTCGATAGTCTTATTTGTACTGCAACACCCACTATGTGACAAAAAATAAAGTTTTTAAAAGACAGAGAACAATGTTTAAATATAGAAGGCAGTGTTCTAAAAAACCAAGCGGCATCTTAACTATGTACCGAGACTTTTAAGATTCCCAAGACTTTCATAGCTAATTAAATTTTACACCGGTGTCTACCAGCAGATTAGTAACGTATATTTTCAAAATACAACTTTTAGATCATCCAGGTCAGTAGCTTTCAAGCCTTGTGTACGTAAAACAGACTCAACCGTCTCTTAGATAAAGACGTGAGTTCAATCTCAATCAAATACCAATATATCAATCCTTACACAAGGTATTATAGATTTAATAACTGATCTGCATAATGCTCACTGCATAACGACATTCCAGGTTCACCGACCGACTTTCCATTCTTAAAAACTCACCCCATTGCATTTCTCCCTCTTAATGAATTTTTTTCCTCTCCTTTTTATTGAAAATGAAAATTTGATTCCTTTCAATTGCACCGCAAGTTGTTCATATGACTTCCTATAAAGTTATTTTCCTCTTTATCTTTTCCTCCCTTTCACTGTGGCTTGTGATGTAAAATAAATGAGAATTCTTTACGCCACCACATCACATCAAACCACACTTCCTTATCCAAATGAAGTATAAAACCCGATCTTCTTCGTATTTTTTATGTCTGTTCAATTTTTTTTCCCTACTTAAACTTTAAATCTTATGCCGCACGATTTTTTTTTTCTCTCTCTGCACTTTCTTTGCTCTTTCCGTTTTTATCTCGTACACGAACAAGAATATTCGATTGAAAATTGATTTAAGATGATGAAGATAGTCGAAGATAATATTAATGTTTTGGTCAATGGACAGTTAATTCAAAAAAAAAAGTGTCAGCATATTATGTGGTCAAGTAGATATGGAAAGGACTGAATATTTTTAATAAACCTTGTGTTGCTCATAATGGCGATTTCGTGTCACAATAATTCCCACCTGACGACTTAATAAACTTCAACTTCAATATATGTTCTTTTGCCATTTATTACATACTCTATGTCCTATGCTTCATATATGAATGTTTTATCTCTCATATAAAGTAGCACAATCAAATGGCTTTTACCACGTCTCTCGTCAACCATTATTTACACAGTCAAACCAGAGGAAAACGGCACAAGAATGATGACAGAAAAACCTGAAAAGCCATTTCGAATTAATTTTTTGATGCTGATAATAAAAAAAAAAAGAGTTTCTTTTGCCGCATTAGCAAGAAGAGACATCAGCATCATCGGTAAAAAAAAAATGTTGATATTGAAAAAAGAAAGGAATAAGTAAGGAAATCCGGTGGCAATGAAGTAAAGAGCGCATTCATATTCACACAAATTTTCAATTTTTGTGAATATATTTTTGAATGAAATTCACAATCTTCAGACATAGAGCATTATACTTTGAACAGCTTTGAACCAAATGTTAAAGCTTTCGCCAAGTTACCATTAAGTAATAACCCGAATGGCACAAGTTGGATAATCGATCATTAATCAAGCATGGTGTGATTCTGGCATGGTGTTGGATTTAAATCGATTAACCGACTTGTGCCAATCGGGTAAGTACTTAGCTGCTGTCTAGACAACATTCAACATAAGTCAATTTTTTAAGAGTCTTCTGGATTAAATATTAAACTATTAGCTTTGCTACAAAAAAAAAGACTAGTTCAAGAACTGAGAATTCAAAACCTTAATTTTTCTTATCCTTAAGCAACGCCTTTAGTCTTATCTAGAGATTAGTTGCAAAATTTAATAATAGTACAGACAATTTGACCACATTTGCATCATTCCCAAGTTCAAAATAAAGGCTAAAATTCGCTTACTTCCGATGTTGACGAAGTGTCGTTTCCACTATCTTAAAATGTTTTCTCATCCTTCTCTTATTCCTATTCTCTCTTTCTGTTCATTTTATCGTCATCTTATTTAATCATCACATATGCAATGTGTGTCGTCATTTCTCTACTGCTATTTTTATGGCCGAACAAATTTTTTTTTTCGTCTTTCCTTTATGTTGACATTTTCGATTCTCTAAAATTGTAGTCTTGTGCATATGTGAGGGGAATCGCCAATATATCTTATTAAATCTTCCACCTACCTTTAGTAAATAAGACACAAAAAAAATATTTTCATCATCATTTTTAAGTAGAAAAGAATCATTGCCGTAATTTGATGCGTCCTATAAAGTTTACATTTTAAAAATATTTTACATCAACTTTGAATGACACACAAAAAAAAAAGAATTTATTTTGGGAACATAAACTTTCGGTATTTAAATGACTATTAATCTATTGGTCAACATATCACCGCTGTTTATTTACAAGTGCTATAAATTTAATAGCTTCGAAGCTTGTAAAATTGAATGATTTTATTAACTAGAGTAGATGAAGATTAGAGATAGATGAGTAAGCCTGTAATTACTATAATAGAGATTGTATAATTATTGTTCTAACAGATACAGCCTCGTTCTTATGTTAATTTCAATTTAAAGCATCAATAGATTCTATTAGGGAATTAAGGAAGACATTTAATCTGTTTTGAATTTAATTAGTAATGAGTCTAGGGATATAAAGCACTTGGCAATACACTGAGTGTAAAATTATCTAAATTTTGGAGATAATTAGATATTTTCATCTCAGTTCCTTTAAATTTGGTTTAAGGAAGAATTCCTTTTGGATTTTAATGTGACAGGCTTGCATATTAAGCTGCAAAATAGCTGTAAATTGATCTATTTTAGATCCATTATTCCGATTCCAATCAATCTCTAGTAGCTGGTAATTGTAAATTTAACTATCATAGTCAGTAAAGTAAGCTCAAGAACACTGGATTCAAACAATATGCAAATCTGCATAAATTAATTTCAAATGCCATTCTAAAAGCATTTTTTGGTACCTAAAATTATTCCATTAAAATCTGAGAATACCTTCCATACCCTTATTTGAATAGTAAACGAAAAATACGAGAATGCATCGTTGAAAATAATTATAGTCATTCTTGCGCAAAAATTACGATATATCATCTGCTTGCATACATTATTGGTAGAATTATGCGATAAACATACTATATAGCAGCAAATTTGTACCGTGTAAAATTGACGACACTCAACAAGCTGTTCGAGAGCGTCAAAAATAAATTATAATCTATTGTGACACCAATTATTCAAGCATGATGGAATTAATTTTCTATATTTGAACTTGACTTGATCTCGTAAACAAAAATAAATAAATAAAAATCATGTTTATGCTCGCCTGCTCAAAACATCACAACCATCCACACAAATTCAAGTCATTTCATTTTATTAATCATCAATATGCATGTTTATGCATCAGTACGAGTACATGTTTAGAAAACAAAAGAGCAAAGGCGCTCGTAGGCGTCAAAATAATCACTTTTGACCGTGAGGTCCAATTTGTGTGCTATATGCTGTAAAACATGAATAGTTTTTGTTTTTGTTTCTGTGCTTGTTAGATTTTAGTTTCACTTCTTTAACTTTTTACTACCTTTATGCTCTTTCTCAATTTCTCAGCACACACATTCTCAAACTCACAAAAACTGTTTTTATTTTGGATATTTAGTCTATCGTGGACCGTTTACACATTCATTTCAATTTCATTTACACGCGTCTTTCATTTTTGTAATATTGTTTGTTAAGGAAGGCAAAAGAAACATTTGCGACTGTGTCAGTTGATATTGTGAGTTCATCAAATTCAATTTAAAATGCTATAAATCAAATTATGGATGGCAAGGATGTAAAAATTATTCGTTGTAAGAATTCGAGTCAAAAATAAAGGAAGCATGCAATCATCGTCATTGCCACTAGTTTCTACAGGTTCTTCCATTAAGAAAATTAAGGTGACTCTCATGGGAGCTGATGGATATGCGTGCATATATGTTTTTATCTCTCATTGCGTTTCTGCTACCCAATGTATATATTCAGATTAATGTTTTTTTCGCACACGAGCGTCTGCTGTAGTAGAAAAAAGAGTGCACACGATTCAATGGCTCGACATGCATACGAAAAAAGTTATGGCATTTTTTTTTTTATTGTCCAAGTGACTTTTAAATAAAATTTTCCATTCATCATTCAAATCAATAAATTTTTACGTGTGCAAATATGTATTTTTTCATTTCACACAAAGCGGAATCCGACTTGAATATTTCATGGAATTGTTCTCTCTATTTTTAAAAAATTCAGTTCAAAGAGTGCCGAAAAATTTATTGATGTAGTTCCATTTAATTTATTCATTCTCTCAAAGCCTGATTTTTCTTGTGAATGAAAATTTACTTTTTATTTTCATTGTTTCTTTATTTTTGGGAGGAAGAAAAAGAAAGAAATTTTACTTTCTCGGTTCTCTTTCTCTTTACGCGCACACAAGCTTACAGCTTTGAAGAGTGAAAATTAAGAAAATTTATCACTAAGATGAAAAATTTTAGATAAGAAATGACGCTCTTGTGAGATTTTACACTGCGGGAAACATTTTAGGGATGATTTTTGATTTGTTTTAGTCGGAACTAGGTTTTATTAGAACTAAGTATACAAGACTAAGTGCTTAGATTATTTTTAACCAAGATTTTGATGATTTCTGACACAAATCTTATTCCTAAAACTTGAAATAAAACATTTTAAATTTAGATTTGAATGTGTACTGACTTAGAGGCGCAGGCAGTTCACCAGAACCTTGATTTTGACTTCTTTCTCAATCTAAAACCCCAAAAAATCTCAAAATCTTTCAAAATCAACAATCGATACAATAAAACACAATATCCCATTGCCAGCAGTTTTTTAATTTGCTCACAGAACCATCAAACTCCTCAATAGACTCTTAATCGCGCATATTAATTGAGATAGTTTTTCTGTCGTTCAGATTCTTAATATCATTGCTTCACATTCCATTTTTCTCATCTACAGAATGCCTTTATCTTATGTCTTTATCCCATTAAAATTATATCACAAGCATTTATTTTCGCTGACAGCAATGAAATTAAATTTATAAGAAGCATTGTTTGTGTTTTGTTTGATACACAAAATTTTCTATGAAATTAAAAGATTCTATCCAGACTGCTCATACTCTTTCTTTCCTAGATGTTGAGCTGTTTTATTTTGGAAATTTATTGCTATTTTTTCATTTTTGCTTCTTATTGTTTCCTGTAGCAATGAAACATTCATCTTCGTCATTGATTGATTTCTTACAAATTTTGTTTGACATTTTTCTCGTCTTTTTGGGCTGTGTGGAGGGTGATCAGGGTTGGAAATAGGGAGGTTCATTATAATAAGAAGGTGAAATTTAAAGAATATTAGTGCCACATAAGGCCTTACCTAAAGCTATTCATCTTTGACCCATTTAAAGGCACTCATTAAATCTAAAACTAGCACAAAGCCTATTTTTAACAATTTAAATGACTTCCTTACTCATCAATTTTTTTTGCATGTCTACCAATCACTATCATCCTCATTTTTAACTTGATAGCAAACAATCTTTAACTTCATTCATGGCATCAGCCCTGCATTAAATAATTCATTTTGTTTTAACGCAAGCCTCCTTAATGTCATATATATCAAGCATGTAAACGATAATAAATGAAGGTTTTAATGCAATTTATTTTTCACATCCCAGAAAATTGGCAAAAACTGAACTAAGTTCTTCCTATATGATGAACTCGTAGCAAATTTCCAGAAATTGTAGCTTTAAAAACTAATTCAAGATTTTAATTTATTACTTACAGCGAGGTCGAAGTAGTCAGTACGGCAATCATCGACACAATCAACGCTCACAATCGCTAAATAGAGGCCAGGCTCTCTCACGTGCAGAAGTTGGTGGAAGTGGAATGTGGTGACACCAAAGTTCCTCAGGTAATTCTTCTCATCCACATCTTGAACATTAATCAGATGTAAATCAAAGTTCCAAAAAAAAACTAATCCTCAATCATCATTTTCATTCAAGGAGGTCAAACAGGCTGCCCAAGTTGTGCAATGGGAAACAAATTGAGTTGCTCGTGTGCGCCATTGATGCGTAAAGGATATCGATATGAAGACTCTCCATGGCAAACATCACGTCGACGAGATGGTCATCTCCTGAGGTACTGTCTCATTCACATCATTCATGACTGTAGATTACTTTTTTTTCTTATAAGTTTTATATCCCCAACTATCTATTTTATTTTATGCTTTGATCGTATGAGTTTCTGCTTATGAACTTTATTACTTTGCACTAAGAATCCTTTTACATCCTGTCTTCCGAAAAAACAAATGAATTCCACAAGGAAGTTCATAGAAGAAAGAAAGTTTCAACATCCATAAGACGCATGACATAATTCAAATTTCAAGTTTCGTTCAAATGTTTGTCATTTGGAACTCTTTTCGAATAATGAAAAATCCTTGTCAGTTTTGTAAATAAATGAGGACATACATAGAAAAGTCAGACATGGGGATGATGATATGAATAACAATATTCTCGAATATTTACAATTCCCAGTGCTAATTAATGTGGAATATGCATTTTTCATTAAGGCAACTTTATGTTCTTACAAAGATATTTTACATAATAATCTCATTAAAAATTTAACAGTAAGTTCCATATATATAGCTTTAAAAGCTGCTTATAGCATATTTTTTGATTCTTTAAATAACTTGATAATTAAACTTTGAGATCTGTTTCTAATTTTAGAAGCCATAAAATAAGTACATTTTGGATATTTCCAAATTGGGTGCATTTTTAAGTCTTTTGAAGTTCCTTTTTGCGATTAAATTAAATTTGAGAATCATTCAAAGATAAATTCGACAATTTTTGTGGCTTCAATGGATTTTTTGCTCCAAGAATTTCAAAGGAATTTTCGCATAACACTATGGGCCAGAAATCGAAAACTTTTCCGAAAATTATTTTTTTAGTCTAAATGATAGCTCTTTCATTCCCATTTATGAAAATACTTACAAAAGTGGCCAATTCAGCCTAAGTTCCGAGTTATGGCTTTTCAAATTTTTGATTAAGAGCATTTTCTCGCCCCACAAAAATTGTCACTACTTTTCATTAGATTGATGAAACTCTTTCAATTTTTTTTTATTTGGTAGCTTAAAATAAGAGCTTTATTTTAGGATAGTAAACATTTAATTATGCATCTTTTAACTTTATGAATTTTAAGGTTTTTTCAAAAAAGCACGTGTTCAGTATGATTATGTTCGTCTAGGACTTCACTCTTAAAATAAATGATGCTGAATCTTTTTTTATATTGTAGATATAAACAAGATCTACAACTTTTATTAAAATACTATAAAGTTTTAGTAGAGTTTTGCTGATGAAATTAAGTCTTTTCTTCAAAAAAACTGCAATTTTTTGACATAAATTCCCATAACTTTTCAGGATAGCCCAAAGGAGTGGATTTTTTTTACATGCTTTGAAAGCTCTTTGGATATACTATCAGAATATATAATCAGCTTGAGTTCGGTTACTGAGACAATCTCGAGCAATTTGACTTTGAAGTGTGACCAGAAATACATTTCAAAACATAAAAATTGAAAATAAATTTTGTACGTTTTTCAAAATTTTAGTTTTTTGCTTTAGATCAATAGATCTCATCAAGGCGCATATTTTGAGTATAAATATGTCATAGTTTGAACAATTTTTATACTCAAATTTCAACAAAATCATTTTTATATATTTTTTCAACAAATTTTACTTATTTTTCAATTATTTTAAATCAAAACATATTTTAAATCTTCTGATTTTGATATTTTTTGAAATTTCTATGTTTTTATGTTAAATTGTCACTCCTAGAGCAACAATTCATAAATTTTTTTTACTTTAAGGTAATTTTTTTATAATTTTTTGCAAATTACACTCATTTTTCTTATCTTTTTTTATCAAATTTTATTTTATGATAATTCTAAATATTGAAATTTAATGTAATATGCATAAAAATTCTCTTAAATATTTAAAGATCATATTTTATCCAATTAACGTAGGAATAAAGCTGGAATGAGCAAAGCTTTGATATGTTCCTTTAATCTGAAGGTAATTTTCCTTTCGATTCAGAACATATAAGCATCCAATCATTTATTTTTAATAAATTTCGGTAAACATACTTATTTCCATGCAATTGTAAAGCATAAACTGCCTTTCAGGTCCGGAAGTTGAAAGCTCAATATTTATAATCTGACTGGACTCACTAATGGTGACTGGAATTTACCAGTATGAAATATATAAAGTATATATACAAAAGTTTGAAAAGATTGCATCGTTTCGAAATTTATCAAAACTAAATGATGGTTCTTGAATCTATTTTTGTCTATGTATAAGGATTTAAGTGCCTCGCTGGTCAAATAAGTAAGGCGATTGGCTCAAATTTGGTATGGTAACTCGATGGTCGTCGGTTCCAATCCAGCCATTTCCAAATTTGTTCTTTTTCAGAAGTTTAGATACTTCGACTGCTTAATGTACGAGATCAAGCCATGAGATATTTGGATTAAGGAACGGATGAGGAACATGAAGTGTAGCGGGAGAAATAGGAACGAGAGCTACAAGATTACCTTATAATGATAAATTGTCAGAACGGATCTGAAATGTATCACGTTGCGCCCACAGATCAGTAAAAAAAGTATATGCAAAGACAAAAATTTGAAAAATCAATGAAATATGCTAAAAAACTATAAGGAACCATTCAACATTGGATAAAAATTGTCACAATAAATTTGATAGATTGGAAAATGGTTGATAGCAGTTGATAGCGTTTTCCTTTTTAAAAACTATTTTCATTATAGGTCCTTAATTTTAATAATTCGTGGTGATAGTTTATGCTTTACTTTAGTTTATAAATTAAGAACGACCGTTATTTTTGTATCAAGTTTTTAAATTCAAAATGTTCGTTATTTTATGAGTTTCTTTAAAGATTTTATTTAAATCATTGAAACTCATTATCTTTATGTATTTATGGGCTTTTTCCTTTAAAACAAGAGAAAGTATAATAATAAATAATAATAATAAAAATTTACAATTGCATGGAAATAAGTATGTATACCGAAATTTATTAAAAATAGTTGATTGGATGCTTATATGTTCTGAATCGAAAGGAGAATTACCTTCAAATTAAAGCAACATATCAAAGCTTTGCTCATTCCAGCTTTATTCCTACGTTAATTGGATAAAATATGATTTTTAAATATTTAAGAGTATTTTTATGCATATTACATTAAATTTCAATATTTAGAATTATTATAAAATAAAATTTGATAAAAAAAGATAAGAAAAATGAGTGTAATTTGCAAAAAATTATAAAAAAATTACCTTAAAGTAAAAAAAAATTTATGAATTGTTGCTCTAGGAATGACATTTTAACATAAAAACATAGAAATTTCAAAAAATATCAAAATCAGAAGATTTAAAATATGTTTTGATTTAAAATAATTGAAAAATAAGTAAAATTTGTTGAAAAAATATATAAAAATGATTTTGTTGAAATTTGAGTATAAAAATTGTTCAAACTATGACATATTTATACTCAAAATATGCGCCTTGATGAGATCTATTGATCTAAAGCAAAAAACTAAAATTTTGAAAAACGTACAAAATTTATTTTCAATTTTTATGTTTTGAAATGTATTTCTGGTCACACTTCAAAGTCAAATTGCTCGAGATTGTCTCAGTAACCGAACTCAAGCTGATTATATATTCTGATAGTATATCCAAAGAGCTTTCAAAGCATGTAAAAAAAATCCACTCCTTTGGGCTATCCTGAAAAGTTATGGGAATTTATGTCAAAAAATTGCAGTTTTTTTGAAGAAAAGACTTAATTTCATCAGCAAAACTCTACTAAAACTTTATAGTATTTTAATAAAAGTTGTAGATCTTGTTTATATCTACAATATAAAAAAAGATTCAGCATCATTTATTTTAAGAGTGAAGTCCTAGACGAACATAATCATACTGAACACGTGCTTTTTTGAAAAAAACCTTAAAATTCATAAAGTTAAAAGATGCATAATTAAATGTTTACTATCCTAAAATAAAGCTCTTATTTTAAGCTACCAAATAAAAAAAAATTGAAAGAGTTTCATCAATCTAATGAAAAGTAGTGACAATTTTTGTGGGGCGAGAAAATGCTCTTAATCAAAAATTTGAAAAGCCATAACTCGGAACTTAGGCTGAATTGGCCACTTTTGTAAGTATTTTCATAAATGGGAATGAAAGAGCTATCATTTAGACTAAAAAAATAATTTTCGGAAAAGTTTTCGATTTCTGGCCCATAGTGCATAACTTTCTTAAACATTCAATAATTATACTTCCTAATTTTTTCAAAAAAAAATGCTGTACAGAATTTTGTGACGTAGTATTCTAAATGCGTCATTCTATTTATCTAATTCTGTATATTTTGGCATCTCTTTAGATCCTTAAAACTTGTTGATTAAAAATGTCGAGATAAAAATTTTGTGAAAATGTAAAGAGATGCTACAATGACGCATGCTATATACGTCATTCCTATGCAAACTTTTTAACGGGATGTTATCGGGTTGGAGAAGAGTAAAATCTGGGATTTCAAATCGTGTAGCTGAATATGCTTATGTTAAAGAAGACTCTTTAACAAGCTTCTATCCTGTATGATAAATTGAGTCGAGAAGACGAATAATCCGGCCTGGAACTGATTTGGGACCAGTTAAGCGTTATTTAAACTTTCCAACTCTACACTAGTGTCCGATTCTGACAAAAGTTTGCACAAACCATGACTTTTAACTCCAAAAACCTTTCAGTAGTTACATCTAATACCTAATAATTATACCTTATTCATGAAGAAACTTCATTCATTAATTTTAAAATTTCCTAATGTTTTTCATAGAATTCTAAATATTTTCGTACCTTTTTCTCTCATCTGACGTCAATCAATGACGTACAAACTATCACAATTAGATTGAATCAAAAGTCAACAACCACAAAATTTCAAGAAGTCACAAAACTTTTCATGCTGAGATAAATTAATAAGGTCTCTCACTGAATAATGTAGTGGATAGTTGTGTAGTATTAATTATTACCTACAGCGACTTGATTGATTCAATATATATCCGAACTGCCACAAACAGACTAATTAACGAAACTTTTAATTGTAATCCCAATCAATGCTTACCGATGTTTATTTCAATATCCATGAATGGACGTTTTCTTTATATTTTATTTTATGCGGAAGTTGTGGCGATGAGCGATGTTTGTGAATTTGAGAAAAATTCCAAAAAAAGCTTTTTCCTTGGGGCTGTTCATAAATGACGTCATTTACATTTTTAATGGTAATTCTTGGATTTTGACGCAAAGTTTCTATAGAAAAAAGTTCTATTAAATTGTTATGAATTTGGACCTCTTAATGGCATCTAAAGGTTAGTCGTCACAACCTAATAGCCCAATGAACAAGAATTCTCAGCTGTAGTATCCCACGTCTTCTCAGAAAATGTTACAAAAAACTTTTTTCAAAACCAAGCCAAACAAATGTCACGTACCAGATATGAATCTCTCCTTAAGAATATAAAAATCCGTGTGATTTATTTTTATAAATATTTAAAGTAAATTTTAAAGATATCATTGAGTTAAGGAAAAGTTTCCCCCTTTATATAATATTAGAAAATCCAATGAAATTTGAAATTTCATTTTAAAAAAGAAGTAAAGCTCTTCAATTCTCCGGAACAATGAACTTTTTGAAAACGTAGAATTCTCGCCTATCACGTCAAGAAAGAAAAACTTTTTTTTTGTTTTGTTATTTCCAGTGCGTGTATTGTTTACGATACTGTCAGATTCAATGAATGTTTTGCTTTACTCTAGTGAAGTGGGGGTGCGAGAAAAAGAATCATAAATCCGATGAGACGCAAACCCAAAAAAAAAAAAGTTCCACTTCTTTACAAGAATTTTGATGTTGATTATGACTTATCGTGCTGTACAGTACAGTGACTATCGAATCAATACCAAATAGATAATAAAGAAGATGAAGCATAAAAAAAGTTTTTCGTATTTCTGACATTTTTGCCACCAATCTTTCTCGCATCTATTTATGACATGGCGTTAAAGTCAACTCAATACATTTTCAAGTACTTTTGGTCTCAACAAGCTGCCCTTTGTGTATCAATACTGATTTATTTTTGCCTTCTTGCTTCGCTTTCCATTCGCTCGCCGTAACAACATTGTATGACGAATATGAAATATGATTTTCAATTAAATGATGATGAAAGATCGACCGAATGGGAAAAGAAGAGAAAGAACAGCAGTAGCTGAATAAAAATCGAATAAAAATGAGACATGAAAAGCTCTCAAGCGTGATGAATGCTTCAATTTGCAAAGCTTTTGCTTCTAATTTCTTCGGATATTTTTATTTTCTTTCGCTGCTGCTCTATGATGTAGTTATACAGAAGTTTTTGTATAGGATTAATGCTTCAATTCATCTTGAAGCTTTGCGAGAATTATTATTGTTATTGAAATGAAATTTCGAATGAAATGAAGCAAGTTAGGAATTAGAGCTAACTTAACCAGCAATGTTCAGTTTATTGTATATAAATCTTGGTGCTTGCTGGTTCTTGTTGACGCTGCCAAGTAAATGCTTAAGTCTTTCAAGTAAAGCTAGCATTTCGGATTCAGTTTTGAGTTATAAACCTCAAATTCTTTTAAATAGCTCACTCACGCTTATTGAACGACTCTTTACCAAGTATGCAGTGTTTCTCAAGATATGAAATCAACCCTTCGTCCCTAAAATAAAACAAGTTGCTGCGAGTTACTACTGCTTAATAGCAGCAACAATAATCTAGTCAAATCTAGTCATAGCTCTGAAATTCTTTAAAATTCAAGATATTATTGACTATAATCTCATCTTCAAGAAAGTTTGCTTAATTGTATTCATTCACAAGCTTTCTCCATTCTCATAATTCCAAGAATCACCATTGAATAATATAAGCTATAGACATCAAGACAAAAATTACCCCGAGGGTGCCATTCAATCATAAATTCTCGAAATGAAAGTAATAAATGTAGGGCAGAGAAATTACACAAATATTTTCAGAACGAAAGCGAATGAAAGAAATCTCATTCATTAGAGACTTAATTGAGTTGCTTAATGGGATTTTAATAAATCAATTGATACACACACAAAAATATAAAATATATTTTTAGATATACAATAATTGTAGTTGATATATTCCAATAGAACCTTCTCATTTCTTCCTTCTACCATGACTATTTCTTTTCATATCCTTTAAATACTCTTCTATAACATTCACGATCCGAATTAGCAACAAAAAATGCAGCAACGAAAAAAAAATCTCGTTTTTCTTTTCTTCTTTTGTTCTTTCCTGGCAATTTTCTCTTTTGTTTTTTTTCCTTCTTTTATTCTTGTATCTTTCTTGAATTTTTTCTTGGGTCTTAAACATAATTAGTGTATTTAGGTTGTGGGCGGAAGTATTTCACGTTGCTGCTAGCGGTGCAGGTCAAGTGAAGTGGCAACAAGTGTCTGAAGATCTTGTTCCTGTCAACATAACATGCATTCAAGATTCACCTGAGTGCGTCTTTCATATTACGGCATATAATAGTCAAGTGGATAAAATTTTAGACGTTCGACTTGTTCAGCCTGGTGAGTAATAAAATAAATAAAATTGATTGAGTTTTTTTGTGTCGGAGCAGAGCTGAAAACTTGGGAATCGAGCTATATGAAGGTGAATCTATTAACGAAAGAGCTTAATGACTTTAAATCTGTTACCTTAACTTTTAAGAAGTCATAAGTTCGATTCTTATATAAATTTTAACTGACAATCATAATATAGAATGTTTGTCAATAAAACAAGGATTCCCAAAATGCTCAAAACATTTACAGCTCTGAACTTTTCCTCATTAATCACTTTCAAAACTTTGAACATTTATTTTATGTTGTATTTTAGGCACTCGCATTGGACAAGCGTCAGAATGTTTCGTATATTGGAAGGATCCCATGACAAATGACACCTGGGGTCTTAATTTTACATCTCCGATTGATGCAAAGCAATTTAGGGAATGTTGTGTAAGTATAATGAGTTAATGTCCCTATCTCTTTCTCTCTCACTTTCCACTCATCTCTCGCTAAATTATTTTTTAAATTTATATTTTTATGTTGAACCCTTCAGCAAGAAAAAATATTCTTTTTTATGTTTAATGCTTTTTCGTTCATTATAATCAGCACATACAGTAAAAAGTATTGTCGTTCATTAGAATGAGAAAATTCGTCATGCATGTCATGTCCCATTATTTCGTTCATGAATTATTAAGTACTTTTTTCACAATCCGTTATTCGTTTTGCTTTAAAAAAAAAGTAAGGAACAGATTTATTTTTATGTCGTCTTATTTTCAAAACCATTAATCCACCACTAAATCCAACTAATTTAGATTAAATCTAAACGCCAGTCTGATGTTTTTCAGTCTCCATCGTTTAAATTCTCACGAAAGGCATCATCAAGCTATTCACTGAAACTTGATCCACCTGGTAAAGGTAAGGTGAAGCCAAAACGTAAGCCATTAAGTACACCAGCAAGTCCATCACGTGTTGGTCGTGAACCGCAATGCACTTGCATGACAGCGGAACAATATGCTCGTTTAAAGGCACAAGATCCACGCTACAGAGGTAATTATTTGCTATTTTACTTTGAGGACGTGTAGTAACCGGAAATTAAAATTTAATTTAGGTTCTTCCACTTTACCACGTCCAACGACAAAAGCCACCGATACTGAAATGCTAAGATCTGATAAGCCTGTAACAACGGCATCAACAACATCGCTTTATGACAATGTTACATCAAGCAATCAAGGACAAGGGCAAGGTATGTGTATGTCTGTATGTTTATATATATGAGAAGGTGGACTGTTTGCTCTGCAGGAGAAATGACAAAAAAAAAATTTATCGTTGTCGAAAGAACCCTTTAATCCTTTTGTCATTTCCTTACCTTTTTTCCAACATTGACTATCAAGACACTCTGTCTCTTATTTATCTCTTGACTTCTTTTGTCAATATGGATTGCCTTTATATTACAATATCTTCAAGATGGGGCGAATTAATAAAACTTAACTTTTATTCATCCAACCATTCATTTCCTCACTCCATATGTCTACAAGCCCCCTCATTCCACTCTCTCCACAATTTTTTATACATTTCGATCCCTAATCATACCCATAAAGTTTTTCATTTAAAACTTATTTTCTTTCAACTCATGCCAGCTGCCACACCTATTGTATTTTATTTTTATGTAAATTGATATATACATCCGTAAACATGAATGAAATGAAAAACTTCTTATTTCCATTCTAAATCTTATCACAGTTGCAGAACAAAAAAAAATTACATTACTTTGTTTTTTAAAAAATGGAAAAATGAATCATTGTTATTATTCTTTATTTTAGACACTCTACAACGTCAAAAGTCCGACACGAGTACAATGACAAATATTTGTACAGCATCGGTTGGAACACAACAGAATCATGTCGGTTTGCAAATAAGTCAAGATGATGCGAGCGATAAGCAGACGCAACGTGAAGAGACTTCGAAATCGGAAGGTACTCAGGCCGGCGGCACATTACAGAATCAGAAAAATGCTGTCAAGACATCCATTTCAACTGGAACTGGTACGAGGACTAAGGACTATAATGAGAATATAATGCACGAACATCAGATAACGAGTAGTAAGCGTAGCAAATCAAAGAGTACGGAAGATATGAATGTTGATGCTGGAACGTTAAAGAAGATGCTTAAGCCACTTCATGGCAATGAGAGTCCAGTCACATCACCCGAAATGGGACGTCGTCGATATAACTATTATAATGCATCAACAAATACAGCACCGCATGGTCATCAACATATTATTCATAACAGTCATTTTAATAATAATTCAATGTCACGTCAATCTAGTCAATCATCAAGGTTCTCAGGATCTCGGTATGATTTATATCATAAAAAGTTCCTTTGTCAACTTGTCATGACATATGATAATTTATATTATCTTGACTATCTATTTCAGATCATCACATGAAATTGGTCGAGGAGGCTATCAGCCCCCGCGTGGTTTATACTTGGAATTGGAAAAGGAGCGTTGTGGTTTGGAAGGATCACCTCCATCAGATAATGTAATGTTTGATAATCAATGTTATGCAACCACACCAAGCTCAAGTAATGGCAATTCTGATCAGGATCAACCAGGTTATGGACCGCCACAAGGACGCTCGGGTCGTCATTCACATCATCCACATCAGCAGCAAACGAATGTCACACCAACGCCTGGATCACCTACGTCACGTTTATTGTTGGAATACGAAATGCATTTAAGGAATACGTTGGCTAAAGGAATGGACGCTGAATCGTACAGCTTACATACATTTGAAGCTCTTCTGTCACAAAGTATGGAAAATTTGGGTAATTTCAAAGCTCCCTGACCGTCCAATGTGTGTTAATTGGTGCTTTTGCTCTCTCTCTTTCTTGCTTTTTTTTAAAAAAATTACAAATTAAAAAAAAATTCGATCCCATCCAAAATTCATTGTGAACACAAATCTGCCATCAACGCAAATTTGTTCTGTTTTTCGTAGAATTGGCTGACAGTCTACCTGCATCAACACAACGGTCTCCTTATCAAACCAGACGACGTAAGGGATCTTTGAGCACTCAAAATTTTTACTTTTTTCTCTCGCGTCATTTTTTTCTTCTTTTTTTTTGTTCTGTCTTTTTTTTGGTGTAAAATAATTAAATGACAATTTTTATAGGATCATCCTCAAGTGCCAAATCTTCTACCCTACCTTTACCACATCGCTTAAATGTTGAACACTCATATATACCAAAAGAACGTGAACGAGATGGATACTATAGGTCAGTAAAGGAAATTATTTTGTGATTAAGAATTAAAAACTAATTAGTTGGTTCCACACATGTGTAAATTTTAATTTTTTTAGTGACCGTAATGAGTTGATGCGAGAACGAGAACGAGAACGTGGATATTTGAGTGATCATAATTCAAGGTAAATTATGGATATACTTTAAGGTATGAAATCTTTCAATAAATCTTTTTGCTTTTTACATTAGCTACTCAAATTCACGTTGTGCATCGTGCATTGGCGAATCTGCTCGTGCTCAGTGGTTCCGTCATTCTGATGGATGGCGTTCAGGTAGCTCAACACTCGGATCTGGCACAAATTTGATATCGCAAAGTACCACCGGACATCGTCGTTCACCGTGGGATTCATTGCCGTCATTGAAACAAGATGGATCTTTGAATGATTCAGGCTATAAAAGCAATCGTGCTGATTCTTTTGAACAACGGTTAGCAAAACGCTTCCTACTACTTATTTTCTATTTTTCATTTCTTTACAGTTCCTTTTTCCATGAAAACGAATTTAATATTCTTCCCACGAATGTTTTATAATTTTTTTTTTTATCCAAACTCAACTTTATTCGTTGACGATTTAATGAGGAGAAAAAGAGTCTATAAAAATGGAACTTTTGAGCCCTTTCCAATTTTCTAATACACTCTTTTTTATTGTGTCTGTAAAACTTACAAGAAGAAAGAACAAACATTAATAATTGACGGAAAGGAATTGAAAATTGTTGTGAAATTAATTTTCTATCATAAAAATATTATAGACTAAAGTTTGTTCCTTCATTTTCAGTTCTCTTACTGTTTTATTTTTGGAAGGGAATCAGTTAAATATTTCTTGAAAGTACTTTAGCAGGAAAATGTTGAGATTTTTAATTTAAAGCAATTTAAAGCTAGGAAATCATTAATGCTTTAAGTCTCATTAAGTGAAGATGATTAACAGGATATTAACTCCCGAACCGAACTTGCTTTCAAGTACCTACAATGAGTCAATTCTCAAATACTAAGATCTAAGCCTTTTGTAGACCAACCTTTAAGTTGGCTTATCATCATATTGAACTGAAAGCTAAAATGACATCGTGGTTGAGAAGATTAGAACCTTGATATTTAATAAACGTGGTACAGACACATCGGGACTAAGTTCGAATCTCAAAAAGGATAATTCAAAAACTTTCAAATTAATATAAGCCTTAAATCAAAACCTGTGTCACATTTCTTTACTATAATTGTCTTCAATTCCTGCTAAAGTAGCTACTTGAAACTCAAATCCATCCCAAAAATAACTCAACCTTCTCTTTAATTCCAACCTACTTTCCACTTCACCCCTCAACATAAATGACATGATTTTTGAATGTGTGTATGTTTCTTTAATCCCAAACAGAGGCGTATTTGACCGACAAGATAGCTTAAGATCTGACTACCTAAGTGATCGTGAGACACGTTATGGAATTGTGCAGCAGGCATCAATAGATAGCACTGATTCCCGCTTGTGCTATCTCACATCATCAGAGGTTAGTGAACTTTAACTTCTATTATTACTATTCAAATATCCGTAACGTGTATATGGAAAGTCAATTTGTTTATTTTCACATAATATAATGCTCAGAAGAAAGTTCTGAAGATAAAATATAAAAAAGAGAAAATATTACATTTTTTATGCATTATATCCACAAATCTACCGACTATATATTTTCCAATTTTAAAATAAATCTATATAGAGATATACTTTATGGCACACGTTTAATTTAAAATCTATTCCCACTCGTATTCAATAAACATTCGATATCGTTAGAAAAAATAAAGCATGAAGATTGTATAAATAAAGTTTCATTTTTCCTTTGCATTCTTGTATGTTGGCGAAGTGAAAAAAAATGGAAAAACTCAATTTTGAGTGGTTCTGAATGCGAGATACTAATCTAAACATAGAGGAATCTACTATTTAAATGAGAAATCCATACATCCATATTCAAATGTATGGCAAAAGAAAATAAAAATTGAAATTCACAAAACGAATACAAATTCGCTCTCTTTTGCTATCCTCTCTGTTTATTCAGATAGTAGATCTAGCCAAGAAATAAAAAAATAAATAAATAAGAACCAACAAACAAACAAACAGACACAAAAAGAAAAGAAAATTTTTTCACACAAAAAATAATGCAATAAAAAAATAAGCAGCAAAATAAAGTCAACCGTGAGATGCATCTCAAATAAATAAGCTATGAGCTGCATGAAAAAAATGTTTGCAGATGCTAAAAGCTTTGTGCGGTTCTTTTTGTGCATTTCGAAAAATTCATTTGTAAAAAGGATTTAGGGGTTGAAGAGGTGCGCAAAGCTTTTACATCCTTGCACGTACGTTAATTCAAGTACGTCAGTTCACTTATTTACTGTATGAATTTCAAGCATAATGCAGCATATGTGTTACAGAAAATTTATGCTTACTACAGATGCATAATTGCAAAAACATTCGTCGGTTTTTTCATGAATTTTACAATGGAGGAATTAATTACAAGCTGGAATTTTTGAACAGCATACTTATTTGCTCATTTGAACCGTAGTCTCAAGAGCTTCTTGCTAGCTCTTCTCATTTTAATTTTTTTTTTGTGAGTTTCCGCTTCGTTTGCTACATTTTAATTGAATGATGCAAAAGAGTTGGAAAACTTAATGCTAAAAAGCTTTAGACGTATCCATTAGAGCGAAAGTTCAATTTTTAGATAGAATTACATTCAGAATTTAGCACATAACATGAGCTAGGGTAGGCATGGCATCAGTGTAGACGGAATTTGGCAAAGCGAGGCAAGGCGCTGGTTCCATGTTGAATTATTTGCTTTCTTGGACTCGAATGGGTTAAAAAAATCGATTCCTAGTTGAGAATCAAACTGCCTTTACATTGAATATCCATTGGAAAATTTGTACTAATTGCTTTAAAACTCTGGATTCCACTCTGATCTGACACTACACTATTAAAGGATGCTTTACAACATTTCATACAATACTAAGTGCATGTAAATCCTAAAATAACGGTTCAATAAATTCACAACAATTTATAAATTGCATTGTTCTAGCTCCAACAATAGAGCCCTTGACAGCTCAATATTATTCACACACTTTAGCATCTGCAAACAATTTTTCCCTCCAAAAAATTATGAAAATAAAGACTTAAATCGCTTGATAAAGCACCGAACTAAATTGCTGCCAATTATTTTTCATAGTAGACATAAAACTACAACTTCTGCCTTATTAATCGATTATCATTGTATTTTCCTTCTCATAAATTTGCACGCACGTGAACACATTCACACATAGACGATACTTTCCAACGCGTTCAGTCTTTACAATTTTGATGGTGATACAGAAAATAAGTTTTACCACAAGTAAAACTTTTGTGGCTGCCTAAAAGTATTTTCAACCCGTAATAGACGAGGTAGAGAATTACTTTGTTGTTATTGTTTCTCTCTGTTAGAAAACATTAGGCAAAAAAAATCTTATTAAGGAAAATGAGGAAGTTTTGGCTTGTCTAAGTACATTAATGTACCGCATTTTGGGTTCAAGGTTGGAAAGAATTTCGTAATAAAAGCGAATCTTTTTGTGCTTGTCGATTTTGTTTGCTATTAAAATTTATAAAAGAACGCCCATCTGTTGAGGGGATATAATGAATAAGCTAGTAAGCAATAAGAAAATTTTACAAACTTAAATTAAAATACGAGTTCTTCGTACCACAAATCTCGTTCCTAGGCATGATGAAGATATAATTCCCATTGTTTGGTTAGAAAATAATGGCAAAAATACATTAAGCATTAAAGTAAATATGTCAAAATCATAATGCATGACTAATCCTCGACTATCAATTTTTATTCAATCTCAACACTCAGTTAATAGGAAATAATAACACAATTATAGAATCAAAACAATCAAAAGACCTGACTAATGAGGAAAATTATATAATTAAGGAGCATAAAGAAATACATTTATATTATATTAAACTTGGCCAAGTTCTTTTGTATATGAATACATTTTAACGTTAATTAACGAAGTTATAAACTCATTCCACCCACTTAATCTGTCCATATATTTTCATACCCTTCTTGCACTGTTCTTACCATAATGAATTTACTCATCGCCGTATGAGAAATATTTCTCATTGAAAAAAAAAAGAAGTACGGCGTTAAGGAGAAAAATCATTACATAATCAAAACGTCTATTTAATTCTTATTATATATTTTTCTATTGCCACTGCCCTTGCTTTTCTTTTCCTCAAACAAACATTAAGTCATGATAACAGCAATGAAGTAGTGATGAGAGGCAATAGAAAGAAAGAGAAAAATTGTTCGTAATTTACAAGGATTTCTTGTTATTCTTCTTGTTGGCTGTTCGTAGGGTGTCCATTTGTGCTGTTACAGATGTAGACAGTTAAAGTTCTAATGTTTTTGAGCTGAAGCCTATTATTAAGGTGCGTCTTAGATCAGACTTTTATCACGATGCCCTCAGAACGACTTGGTGACTTTTACAGAGCTCTTAGGCTATAAAAATAAAATTTCAACATCCAAGAATATCGTCCAATGCTTACAGTAAGAATATACCCTTGAAACAAAGAATTTCAACTCCCTCAACCCAAAAAACTTCCAACTCAACCCTTTTGCCTTGATTCCAATCAAAAAAGTTGCATAGTCACCCTACTTTTCAACGCAAAACTGCACTGAAAAGTACACGGATGTAGAACGTAAAGTTTAAGTGGAAATGAAAAATTGCTAGATTTTTTTTTTACAATTCTCATTCCACAGATTTTCAATACTTCCTTGAGAGTTCATTCAAATGAGAAATCTGCTCGTAATAATCGAATTCATTAAGAACGATAGATTTGTGCAAGGATGAGGGGGTTATGTACTATATAGCATGATGCTGTGCGCGAGCAATGACGGCACAACTTTTTTTTAAATGTAAATTCATCAAAAGTGTCAAGGATTTTCTGATTATTGAAACAAATGCGAAGACATTGAAAGTTATGACTTAAAGCTACCCCACAAGGACACTTTGACAAACCAAAAGTTTCATGTTCTTCTTGCTAAACTAATCAAACCCAAGAGAACAAGCATAAAAATGAAGAAGAAAATGACTGAGACGAACTTTATGTCAAACGCGGTTATCGCACATAAAAAAATAACGGAAATAAAAAAAAGGGACTGAAGATGTAACGAAATAAAAAACCCACCATTTAACTTAAATACACTTCATGGTAATCATCTCCCTTTTTTAAAAAAAAAATGTCATTTTCTTCTTCTTCCTTATGCTTTTTATTCCTTATCTCTCCATTTGCATCATTATTCTCATATTCAGCTTCATTCGTCTACTTTCCCACACACCTCCCTCATTGAAAATCCATTTCTCATCGTCATCTCACTTTACTTTCCATTCTGCAAACAATCACATCCATTATAAGTTGAGGGGCTATTAATTTAATTATGATTTAATTAAGAAGGTTACGCTTACAGTCAAATTTAGAATTCATTATGTTACTCATTTACGGTTCCGTTTGTGCTATTTTTGCATTTTTTTTCGATCCTTGAGACCATCACTCGACCAACAACACCCTGCTACAAATCATTGTTAGCTTTATGCTGCTATAATATTCAACCTTAAGGTTCAGTGAACATTACAATCTCAATTTTCTTTCTGTGTGTACCCATCTGTACCTTTTAGACGATTGTGAAATAGAGATCTGGGAATGGGGGTCGTTCATAAGTGATGTGTGTTAAAAAATGGGATTTTTTGAACCTTTTTGCAGGCTTTGATTTAAAATATTCTTAAAAAAGTTACACATCCTAAGACTCCGCTCACTTTTACACATTTAAAACTTGACATCACTATCAAGTGTTCCCAAAGAAGCATAATTGAAGTAAAACGAAGCAAAGCTACAAAAAATTATTGAAACCCCACCCATGATGCTGAAAAGAAATGCTGAAATTGGAGGGAAATTTTTCCTTTTCATATATTTTGCATGGCATTTTTCATACACAAAGTAGCATAAACTATTTGTGCTTCCTCGCAACACTTCACATGCACTGTACAATATTTATTCATTCCATTTCATTTGACAAAAAAAGCAGCTAAATTGTGCAGCACAGCATTTAGAGAATTTTTTTAATAGTATTAAAGTAAAAAATATATTTTTTTTCAAGTGGTAGTTTTGTGGTACGGGAAGCTGGAGATAAAAAGCTGAAGGGGGGAGGTTAACAATGTTATGACAACAAAACAAAAGCCACATAATGTCTCTTCCATCCTATTTTTTTGGTATCCGACATGAGAATGGTGATGTAAATATATATATTTTTGTGGATAGCTACAATACATACAATATTATTCTATTATTTTACTTCATACTTTGTTATTATTGTTGTTATTGTGTCAATAGATTGTGCCACATATGCGTATTCATAAAACATTCTATAGCATTCCTAATGTATCCTCTTTCATAACATATATCCACCATACATATAGTTTTTATATACTTATGTGT